TCTCTGCTTCCCTCTTACCTCCAGCCCCTCTCCCTGCCCCTCCATCTGGCTCTGTCTGCCCCCCTCTTATCTCACCCTACCTGACTGTCCCAACCTCCCCGCCCCCCCAGGTCATCCAGGAGGTGAGTGGTGTGCCTTTGGAAGGCGAGTCAGAAGGAAATCAGTGTGTCCCAGAGAGCCAGCGCCTCACCTGTCTGAAGGTAAGCTCCTCCTGGCCGGGGGTGGATTACAAAGACCATCTTCCCCTCTTCCCCCTTCAGCCCAACGCAGAAGGCAGATGCACTACTAGGTATGGGCATTTGCTTGGCAGGAAGACAGGTGACCCAGATACAGACCTGGATGGCTTTCCTGCCCGAGGGGGAAACCCTGTGGGAACCAATGTGCCTTTGCCCCCTCCCCAGCCCCCACCCCTCGAGTAGTAAAGGAAGGTTTCCCTTGAGGGGGCTGCTGCTCTTCTCTCAAGCCTGGGAAGGGCTCTGTGGGTGGTGGTCCCAGCCAAGGGCTCGGCTCCCAGGCTCCCTTGGCCTGGGGACCAGGTGGAGGAAGATGGGCAGGATGCTGGCTGAGAGCTGGATGGCCCATCACCTGTGGGTCACAGTCCCTCAACCCCCATCTCCAGCTCACTGCAAGTGGACCTCCCGAAGCTGGCCCTGCACAGAGCAGCCCAAGGAGTCACTGAGCTTCATTACAGGGTCCCCTTCCCTGATGGGGAGGAAAGCTAGCGGGTCAGCGGGGGCTTTGTTCTTGGGGGCATGGGCCCCCTCCTCTGAGAGGAATCTGGAGATAACCTCCAAAGGGGCAGGCCTGTGAGGTCTGCTTCCTCCCTTGACTGTTGACCAGAAAACTCAGGGTTTTCTTCCCTTAGGGGGGATGATCCCGCCTTCGAGGCTCGGTACGCAGGACTCTCTTCCCAGGCTGGCAGCTTCAGTGCCTGCTCCCTGGCTGTGGCCAGCCTAGCCTGTGGGCTGGATCCTGAAAGTGGGCCACTCTAGAGCAGGCCAGTGGTCCCCCAGAGGCCTGTGTCTGCTGGCTGGGATGGTCTCTGTAGTTGACACGTGATGTGGGGGCCTTGGAAGCCTGTTGGCTGGAGAACTACGGGGGGTTTGAGTCCCGGGTCTGGCCACCCCCACCCACAGGAGGCCGATTCCCAGGCCGGCAGCTTACTGAGGCGAGCACCCCACCCCACCCCCGCTGGGAAGCTATTGCATTGGGTTGGGCCATCCCTTTGGAGGCCTGGGAGTGAGGGTGGGGGTCCCCTCGAAGGAAAGGTGCTCTGGGGCCACCTCCGGAAGGGTAGTACAGGCAGCCGGAGAAGCCCGGGCAGCGTCCCCACTGGGACCTGGACTTTGCACTTCCCAGGAGGCTCACACCCAACACGTCTCACACACAGCCTGGGGGGGGGGGGGCTGTCCCCAGCCTGAGGCCACCTCGCCGTCCTTCCTCCACAGCTGGAGGTCGCAGAGAAGTACCTGTCACCCTCTGATTGCGGAGGTGCCAC